GAGAACTGGACCCAGCTTTTTGCTAGTTTCCCCCAAAATACGAGAAGAGGGCCCAATTTCGCACGCTCATTTTTTAATTATAACTACTTTAAGTTAATTTTAAAGGTTGTTGGAGGGCATGAAATATGTTGACCTATAATGTAAATTTCATACTTATCTGTCCATTTTTCTATTAGGTGTTGCAGTCATCATTGGCTTGTGTGTGTCTATATATATATATATATATATATATTATTTGATTATTTCTATTTCAAGTTTTATCAAATTAAAATATAATAATGGGATTTGAGATTAAATCTTGATATCAAGGTTTTAAAATAATATAACTTACATTTATATAATTTGAATTCAGTGCATAATTAAAAGCAGTAACTCTTGAAAAAAAAATGAAATGCACTTATATTTCTTGCAGTACTATTAACATATGCGAAATTGATTCATTCCGTAAACTCTTATATATCTTTACCTTAATTTTCATATTTTTTAATATTTGAAGACTTCAAAAATATACAAAAAGTTAATTAAATTACCTGCGTACAATAATGTATACTAACTATTACTTCAATAAATAACTTTTAATTACACAACTTCTCATTGCCAGTTGGGCCGAATTTTTTAAAAAATAAATTATTGGCCACAAACTTTTATGTATTTATTTTATCTAATTTGCAGTAATAATTTAATTATTAATCAATAAACTCACATTGTACATGAAGTTATTATCATGGTTAATACCTGAGCTAGGTTACAAAAATAATATAATTTTATCATTTCTTAGTACAAGAATTAAAGTACCATTGTTCATATAAAAAATAGATTAAATTATAGGAGTGATATTCTTTCGCATAGTTCACACTACACTTTTTTTTACTAAACTAAAATCATTTATAAGGTATCTTTATCTATATATAATAACGACACATGCCAAAAGAAACTAAAGGTTTATTGTTTTTTTTTTAAGTATAGATTAAAATTTCCTCTCACCACATATATATGAAAAAAAAAAGAGTAATAATAACAAGAATCACATGGTGGCCTTGAGATTAATTTATTGAAGAAAATAAAAAAATGGCACGTGAGCAAAACCTAATGAAGTTTCATAGAAAGAATCTCCAAAAGAAGGTTGGAGGAAATAACCCTTCATTCTCACTGTTCCATAAACAGAAAAAAATTGCTATATATATCAGATACAGTGCCACAGTTGAGTGTTCAGTGCTCAAGTTCTTTCTCTACCACCAAACTTCATTTCCTTTTCGATAACAAATCATGTCATCCACCACAACGGATTCAGACTCTGCATTTTTGGAACAAATTCAGCACTATCTCCTTCACAATGATTCAACCATTGTAACACCATCTCAAGCTTTTCCTTACCCTAGCCATGCCACTTGTTCGGATGCAAGTGTCGATTTTTCGCACCCCACTGAAGCGCGTGATGAGAACGCGCCACCCAAGTGGAGGCGTTACAGGGGTGTGAGGCGACGGCCGTGGGGAAAGTTCGCAGCCGAGATAAGGGACCCAAAGAAAAACGGTGCTAGGGTTTGGCTGGGAACTTACGTGACTGAAGAGGAAGCTGCTTTGGCTTATGACAAAGCTGCCTTCAAAATGCGAGGCCGAAAAGCTAAACTGAATTTTCCTCATCTCATTGACTCTGATGTGTCATCGGAGCCACCAAGTTCGGCGGCTTTGAAGCGGAGCTTGCCAGAATCTTGTCCACCGCCTCCACCATCATCATCATCAATGGATGATAGTAGTTGTAAGTCACAAGGGTCAAAGAGGAGAAAGAACTTACTAAATAACTTAGCCAAGAATGGAAGAAGCCAAGCCAAGGTGGTGGAAATGGCTTTAGAGGCAAATGTGGTTCAACAATGGGTGAATGATTTCAGTGATTGCACTCAAATCTGGTGTTCCTAGTGTTACTCTTGTTCTCTCTTTTTCTTCTTTTTCTAGTTTCAAATTCTTGATGTTTGTAAACAATTATGAAATAGTCATATATATGAGCATATAAATTAAACGTTGAGAATGTTGAAAATTTTCCATTATTATAGAACTTTTGGACTGATTTATTGGTTGAAAAATTTACTTTGTTTGACTTGTGATTATTTCAAACTTATCTGTTTTAAGATTTTGCCAAAGTATAAAATACACTCAACATATGAAATTAAAAACAAGAGATAAACGAAAATTATCATAAAAGGAAGTATATATTTACTTAAAGAATAACCTCGAAATTTATGCATCCGCGTGTAACCATCGTGTCATATATATAAGTGTAGATTAGTGAGCAAATTAATAATTAATTTAGTGTAAAGAAACTGTGATTTGAATGGATTCCCTCTTAGAAAAGTGTGGGAAAGGGTATGGGTATGTGGTGTTGGTGGGTTTAAAATTATGTCATTGCCCTGTGTTATCAATGATTATTATACTATTATATTAATAACACGTGAACATATTTTTCTAATCAAGTTTAAAGCTCCATTAATTTATTATTGCTTATGCGCATCATAATCTGCATTATAAGATTTGATTCCTTAAGTTATCGAGGAAACTAGTGCAACGTGGTAATAATAGAATCTATGAGGTTCTCAGCCAAGAAAAAACTGTTGTCAGGATAATGTTTCTTAATATTCATAAACATAAATGAGAGCTAAAGTTATCATTTATGAAGAAGTGAAATTAAAATATATTTTGTAAATGAAATTTTTTAAGATAAAGTGAGGAAAGCTATGCCATAATGATAGGATATAATAATTCCCACAACAATAAAGATGCTCTTGATTAGTAATTTTTAAGTCTATAATTATGAGAGGTTACATAATAGATTGGATGAAATTAATATAAACTTACTTTTAAATTGGAAGAGGGAATGTTATACCAAATACAATTCCAACTATTTTTAATAAGATTAAATATCAGTATACCATTTTTAAAAATAAAGAAATCAATATCATGTGCATGAGCTTATTCTCGAGCCCAAGAATGCATTTCTTGTTTCATATCATGTGCAATGTTTCATCAAGGTTTTATATCAATTGTTTTATCGTCAATTGAATAATAAAATATGACAGTTTTTAGTTGACAAAAATTAATAACAATTATTTTGATTAATATGCAAGTCAAGTAATTTCAATTTCAAAACAAGGGATTGTGGGATATTGATGAAACTATCTTTGGTAAGTATGCAAGAGGAAGGAATTTCTACATTCAATTCTGATTTTGGCCTTTGATAAAAAAAATTAAAAAATAAAAAAAAAACACTTCCAACATGAGACATTTCAAGAGCTGTCTGTCACCTCTATTCTCATAATTCCCTTCATAGTATTTGATATTCTACATTAAACGAAACGACCAACTCCAAAAGTGTAAGATAAGTATAAAATATTGACAACTGATAAGGTATTCATATGATAAACTTTATTACTCTTTCTTTCTTTATGAACTGATTTTTTTTGACAGAATTATATACATACTCACCCTAACAAAATAAAATTTAAACACAACCCTTATTTACGTGGTGCATATTTATTTTTTCATCATCAATAAAAAATAGCTATAATATAGGGAGCATTTGCATACTCCAACGCTTTTACAAACCTAATTATATATAGAACTAAGACTACTAAAATGAATATGGAAGCAAAGATAGTGTGTAATCTCATTCGAGAAAAATAAAACAAAAAGCTTATAGCAATTTTATCATTAGTACACACTTCCCGTGTCATAACATGTTTGAATACAATCCATGCTAACCTCCTCGTGTCGTCCTTGAAGCCACTTGAAGTCATGTAAATGTTTGACTAGGTACTGTGATCTTCAGTTGTAGCATACCAAACCACCTGCATGGTCCTACACACCTGTTTTTGAGCTCGCCAGTGTATGTTGGTCCATATTGGGTTAGGCAAAGCTCTTGGATTATCACTGCATGAGCTATCTCTGAGTCTTTCTTATGTGCCCTTTCTCAAGCTACTATACCTTATAAAATAGCCCTAAGGACCCCCCAAAAGCCGATTGAGTGCAGAATAGTGTAACACGATAAATAAGATCTTTTGGAGATTGCAGCTCAGTGTAACTTTAGGTTTGAGAACAATTATTTCGTAATAATTAATTATTTTGTTGTAAGGTTACTTCTACAACAATTTCAAAGAGTAATTCTTCCTTTACAGTATGGTTAACTAAACATGGATAATTTGGAAAGGGACTAGTGAATATGCTTAAATTTTATAAGTTAACATATAGAATATGTATGTACAATGTGAGTGCTTTTATCAAATTGAGCGTTGAACTTGGATGTTAAGAAAAGTAATTATGCTAAACTTGCACCTTTTTTTTTATTTAGCGATTGTGTTAACCTCAATCACTCACGGGCTTTTGGAATCAAAGAACTTTTTCTAATATAGAAACAAGAGAGCATAAAGATTGCTATTTAGCAAGAAATAAGAAGAAATATTAAAGAAGTAATGAAAAAATTAGGGGTGAGGACCCTATTAAAGGGTTCTAGTTTTAAGCATCATTGACTTATACAAAGTAATGCAGAAACTAATGATTTCACGCATAGAATAAAAGTTGGGCACTTAGAATACAGACATTAAGTATTATTTGTGACCTTACCAAGCTCACAAGAAAGTTTTATGGCATTATTATATTAAACTAGATGTATGACAATGTAAAAAAGATATGGAAGGGTTGCAAAGGATATGGTGCTAAATCTATTGAGAAGAGAAAACAGATAAGTTAGTTTGAGTTTTGAACATGTGCTAAAAAAGATATACTTTTTACTTTACAAAAAAAGGGGTTAAGAAGCATGAATACTAAAAGAAATTATTAAAAAGACATCCGATAAATAATAGCACTAACAATTTGGTTTTAGATTCTTTGAAAAAAAAAATTGGTTTTAAATAAAGTTCAATGGCATCCTTGTAATCAACCCTACCTTGTAGCAGTAGAACGGAGCTATTGTTGTTTGCTAAAATCAGTAAGCATGACAAAATAACTTTATATTTTCTTTCTTCATCACTCTCGCCCATATTTGTGTATCCTGGATTCGTCGCAAGAATGGACACAACTCCAACTTAAAGAAAATGTGGGTTTTTTTTCCTCTTCTTTGTTGAATAAAATTTAATTCATCAAAACATAAAGATACAATGTTTTGTATGCTAGCACAAACAAAAGCAGAAAAGTAAAAAAAATAAAATAAAAGAACAACAATCCTGAATGAAGGTTGTAAACACTGTAAAGGCAATGCTGCAAATAATAGAGAGAAAAATACATGGAACGAGGGTGCATGAAAATAGATATGATAGAGTACAACCATATGCTTACTCTTCACATTTGACGTCACGGGAGATCAGCAACATCATCCTTTACCTGAACAAATCAGATAGCACTTTGTTTAACATCTTTGCATGTTGAACACCTGTCAGCAGCAAATACTGTGTTGTCTTGAGACTCTTGACAACAATGGCATAACACCAGCATGCAAGTTCTAATGAGCTATCATCAATTGTGGTGTAGTATCAGATTACCTTTCAATTTAGCTGGCAAAGATTATCAGAACAATCATGGCATGATAACTCTCCATCTTTTAGCTGCTGTATATGCTACAGTAGAATTTTTTCTATCATTTAATCAATTTTAGCAGAGAATTGTCTCTGAATTGGAAAACCTGCAGTGAAGTTGAACGAAATATGATCTTATATAGATAGAAAGTGAGAAGTCTTTGGTGCCATGCAAGCAAGCTGTGAAAGAGATAGCCATTTCCCGATAATCCAATTGAGATATCCATTTCCCTAAAATAAAGAACGGATGCACAGTTGACCAGCCAAAAGAAAAACATGTATAACGTTATTTTGCTAGAGTATCTGTTATTCTTGCTCCACTTATGCAAAAACAAGAAAAGGAATGGAAAACCGAATGACAGACTACAAGGGAATGATAAAATAAATAAACCTTAATTTTTGAAATGAAGGTCTGCAGATTTGAAACTTTCTATAGGTAAATGTAAGGTGGTTACCTGCCGAATCACATAATCGATGCCCTTCATGACTCCATATGTTCATAAAACACGGTAACCCAATGCAGAAGTCAGCACCTAGATGACACAAATCTCACTTCTCCAACAAGTATACTTCCCAAATACTTCATCAAAACCCAACTAGTTATTGGTCCAGATGTAAGCAGGCTTACAAAGCGTCAAAGCACGTCCTAAATGTGTTATTTAGTCACTTTGATTGCTAAATGGTTTTCCTTGTATAATCTCGAAGACAAATCAGAAACAAGAGCATAATTACTGCTTTCATAGCATGCAGTCATGAATGCTGCTAATGTTACACGATTGGCATGAGGATCCATGTCTAGTAACTTGTGAAAGAACAGGGCTGCCATTCCCACTTTTTTCTCACTACATAGCTTCCTGACCAGAGTGTTAACTGTCCGGATCCAGGGTTTCTTTTCTAGCCTTTCAAGAACAAGCATAGCAGAGCAACTGTCCTCTATTTTGCAATATTCATGAGCCAAAGTTACTCGAGTAACTTCACATGGAGTAAGTCCCTTCTCTATCATGGCATCATACAATCCACGAGCCTCATCCAACTTTGACTGTTTGTACAGCCCACTTATAAGGGCACCATAAGTAATAGAATCCGGAGCACAACCATGGTTACTCATCCTGTGGAAAAACTTAAAAGCCAAACTCAAATCGCCTACTTTAGAGTAACCACATATCATTGACGTATAGGTTTGGTTTGTAGGAACAAGTCCAAATCTCAAAACTTCTTCAAAAAACATCTCACTTTCTTTCATTCTTTTTTCCCTACAAAATACTGCAATCAACGTAGTGTATGAATGAATGTCAGGTTGAATACCGCTCTTGAGCATCTTATTGAACAACACTAACGCTTGCTTAATTTCCCCCTGTTTGCAATGTTCAGACATGAGAATAGTATAAGTAAATTTATCAGCTTCCAACCCATTACGAAACCCACTCTTAAGCACATTGTAAGCGTCTTGCACCCTTCCCTTTTTACAAAGTCCATCAATAACGGCATTGTACGTACACACATTGGAACTAAAACCTTCCTCATTCATCACATTCATCAACTCATACGCCCTTTCAAAATTCCCCGCTTTGCAGTGCCCATCAACAAGAGTCGTGTATGTGTTTGTGTTCGGCGCCAATCCCTGCTCCTTCATCCGTCTCAGCAGCATCTCAGCCCGATTAATTTTCCCATCCCTGCAATACCCACTAATCATGGCAGTATAAGTAAGCACATTCGGCTTGTGATTCTCGCTTCGAACAAGCTTGAGAAACAGTCTAAACGCCTTCTCAGTCCAACCTTTCTTGCACAGGCCATTAATCAAAGCCGTGTGCGTGTACACATTCGGCTTCCAACCCTGCCCAACCATCTCCTCCAACATCTCAAACGCCTGTTTCACGCTACCCCTCTTGCACAACCCGTCAATCATACAAGTGAAATTAATCAAATTAGGCCTCAAACCCATCTCACTCAACCTACGAAAATACCACAATGCCCTGGTCACAAAACCCTTATCACAGAACTCCCTCACTACCAACGTAAACGTCCTACTGTCAACTACAAACCCTCTCTCAATCATGGCTCTCAACCACCTATCCGCCTCCAAAACATTACCCATTCTACAATAACCGACAACCATGGCCGTGTAACTAACACAATTCGGCTGCACCCCTCTCGCGCACATTTCATCAAACACGTTCTCTGCATACTCAACCAAACCCATTTCTATCACAATCATAATTACCCAGTTCAGCATTTTCGTACTGGGAACCAATCCCTGGTTGTGCATTTCGATGACCATTTCCACGGCCTCTTTGACCCTCCCGATTTCGGCGAAACTCTTCACCATACATTGCAACACGTCACTGGCCAACTCGAAATTTCTGTTTCCAATGAGAGACGTTGCGCACGCAATGTAGAGGCGCGTGAAATGGCGGAACTTGTTGGAAGTAATGACCCAGTTGAAGAAACGGTGGGCCACCACCGAACCGCCATCGGAGGCGAGCGAAGCGACGATGGTGACAACTTGGTCGTGGGTTAGGGAATTGGGATCGACGTCGAGGTACAGAGGGGAGAATCTCCTGTGGGTGTGGTGGTCTTCGAAATAATCGTATACCAGTGAGCACACTTGTTTTACCGTGGACTGCGCACATGATGATAACGACGACGACGACGATGATGTGTTGGTCAGTGATCTTGTGCAGGAGATGAAGGCGAAGGCGAGTGTGTGAGGAGATGCACGAATTCTTCTGCGAATCACAGAAGAAAACATGAAAAAAGTGTTACTGCAACACTGCAAGCCTTCCGAAGTTGCACCGTTCCTCTTTCAATTCATGTGTTCTTTATTCCTAAAAATAAAGCTATAAAAAAACACAAAAATAAACAAAGACATATAATTAATATAAGAGCATTCAAATCAATTAAACTCATGAATTACTATTTAACAATAAATTCTCACTTATGCAATCAAACCTTACTTATAATGCATATACTGTTATAAGTCACATTCGTGAAATGTGCAAATGGATTAAGGAGAAAAATTCATATCATTATTTTTCATTATACAACAAAATAACCACTAAACACTACAAAACTAAACAATTATCTACTGTATATTAACATTGCACACTCAAAACTAGTCAAATAATATATAAACCTTTCACCAATATCTGTAAAAAAGCTAGTCACATATTTTTTATATATAGATTTAATTTAGTTGTTTTGTTTTTATTTTTAAAACTAATAAAAATATAAAATAATAGCTCCATAATTTTTTTGGTACGAAAATGAGCTCCAATTTGAATGGCGTCGAATTTGATTTTGGTGTCTCGATTATGTTAAAAATAATGAGTTAAAAAAATTCTTTTGGTTTTTAAATACAAATTTTGAAAGACTAAAATGTTTTCTCAAGTCATTATTTACTTAAACAAACTATAAAATTATAGCTTTTAAATTATAAGGTATGGGTTTTTTATTTAAGACTTAATACCTCTTTTGGTCCCTCTTTATAAGGGAAATGTTCATGTCTATCCTACCTTTTTTTAAAAAGTTCAATGTGGTCCCAACTTGTGAAAAAAGTGTCCAATTTAATCCTTTTTGGTTACCGCGTCAAAATTTTAACAGTGCAACTGCCACCCTAGACAAAAGTTAATGACGTGTACAGTTTCTCTGACTGCGTGGCAACCCTAATTCCCAAATCCTAGCTTCCTTGTGTCGCCAATTCCCCAATTTTGATTGCAGACACTTACCTTCGTCCCTCCCATCCTGCGAGGGGCTAGCCGAATCGTAACCCATGCTGTCGGACTAGAGCTATACGAATTATAGCCCAATTCAGCACGAACTCATCACAGCAGCTCCAAAACACAATTCCAGCAAAATCAATTTCAATTATTGCCTTCTTCTAGTGCTTATGTGCCTCGAAAACCCTATTTAAACTTCACTAACCCTATTCCACTCTGCAATTTTTCCCTTCGTCCTCTAAAGAAAACAAAGCCCGCAAATTAGGTTTCCTCGTCATGGACCAGATTAAATTCAGAAGAACAGAATACTGCCCTGGCCTGTTGGTGAACGGACGAAGGGTTCCGGCGAATCAGCCTTTAGAGTGTATCCGAAATTTCCTAATTGAGTTGCAGCTTCTTGTTATCAGAAACATCCAAATGAAAGCCCTTTATTCCGAATTGAGTTGCATGTTGTTGATGCCGCAAGCTGTGTTATTTATTTTGAAAGTGATACCACGAGGGTGATACCCAATTTGGATTTCCAATTCCTTCAAAATGCTTATCCCCAAATCGCGATTTCTGCAACCCAAATCCTAACTCAGAATTTTTTAATCACTGCCACGTAAACTTTATGAAAAACACTGTCACTACTGCCACGTTATGAAGCTAAACAGCCACGTTGCACATATCACTCAACGCTCTCAGCTGGATCGTTAAATATTTAACGCCGTGACCAAAAAGGATTTAATTGGACACTTTTTTCACAAGTTGGGACACATTGAACTTTTTTAAAAAAGTAGGACGAACTTCAACATTTTCCTTATAAAGAGGGACCAAAAGAGGTATTAAGCCTTTATTTAAAAAGCCAAAATCGAATTCAACCAAAATTTCAAATAGTAAAATCATAATAAATATATTTATTTTTAATAAAAATGTATATAATACCAAGAAGTGCCATTCATAATAAATAGTCTGAAAATATTTTTAAATTGATAAAAAATATTTTTAAATGCATTTTCATGTATATAAGTTTTTTTCAAATAATCTTTGTAGAACACAGTATTCTACGCATAATACAATGACACTTAACATAATAATTATCGTATAATAACAAAAATATTTTGTTTATTTATAAGAAACCGTTCAGTCTTCTTCTCTCGTATTGTCTGTCTCTGTTCTCTGACAATTTCTTAGTCTTTCTATGTTCCAATGTCTTCTACAAAGGTGGGTTTGCTTAAATTCCTAAACAGTGTTATTTATTTACCCGATTCACACTAAACCTTTTTGTTTTTTTTTTTTCTGTTTTTTTTTTCTGTTTTTTTTATCACTATCTGGTATTGTGTATCCTTGCTCTCTCAGGAGGATAACCGAGGTTCCTTTAGCTCAAAAAGAATTCGCAACGACGGTAAAAACCTAATCTTTGTAGTCTCACACTACAAGTAGTTTCTTTTTCTTTATTGATGTATTTTTTTTTATCTGGGTTGCAATAATGTTATGGTTTTGGTATTGTTTTTTGGCTATGTGAAAAAGAATTTGATCTACCCTTTTGTAGTCTGGGCCATATGGGTTTTAATCTATGGGTGAATATGTGTTTTTAATTAGGCATGCAATGTGATTAAACATGCCAGTGTATTTAGAGCTGTCTGTGGTTCTGAAAATAAGTGTATTTAGAGCTGTTTGTGGCTATAAGGTTGACACTTGAGGGTGGAAGTGTATAAGTTGAATTTAACTTACGAAAACTTTAAATCATTTTACCTCTTTGTCTTCTTCTTTTATGAATTCCTATTGAAAAATTGTATTCTTCTATAGAGATTCACTATCATAGGCTGTCTCAGAAAAGTTGTGCTTCTTATCATGTTATTCGTTTAGAGGTTGAGGGTAGTCAAGAGAAAACTAACCTGTGACCCTGTTGTTTTATTGATTGGGAGAGAAGCTGTTTATGTTTGAGGAATTTTTTTTGACGGGAGAGGTAAAAAAGGGAGAAACAAAATTCTCTTCCAAACAATATATAACGGGAAAACATTTGCAATAAGAGGGCTTGCATTTTTATTCGATGGTGTTTAAAGATTGCAATAACAATTACAATTTACAACTATAAACCAGTTTATGTGATTTGTTTTTGGTTTAAACCATGAAATCCATGTTCATCCATGCTAGTTAATTTGTTGCCATGGAGTGGACAGAGGATAGGAGAGACCTTATTTTTAGCTTATCTGTAGTGCATTAGAACTGCTTCTTTACGTAGATAACCTGATGCATGAGCCTACCTGTTTATCTTAATGCAGTGCTATAGTATATAAATTTTTAGAGGTTATGATGTTAATTGGTTGATTTTTCTTTTATGGAATCAGCTTCGCGAAAAGATGGAGACTGGACCTGTCCTAATTGTGGGAACTTAAACTTTTCTTTTAGAACTGTTTGCAATCAGGGACGTTGTGGTGCTCCAAGACCACCCCTAACTCCGGTGAGTGCAGGCTTGTTTAAGGTTGTCTTCATGTTCTCCCATTTTGTTCAATGGCTTATTTTATTTGAAAAACTATCCAATGAGCAAACTTGTGTGCACTAGGTGTGTATGTGTGTACAAATTGACCCCAGGGGCCAAAATATAAAAAATAAAAACTTATTATATCTACCAGGCTTATTCTTGGTTATAATTAACTGATACTAAGTGAACAAAGTGACTTAAAACCTTTTATACTTTCTTTTTTGTTTATTATTGCCCGGTAAATTTAATTTTGATTAATGTTTTAATTGATTGGATGTGCAGCCTGCCCTAATTACAAGTCCATATAGAAACAATCATCCCTTCTACTATGGTGGATTTGCCATTCCTTCCCCATCATACAGAATGCCTGGGCAGTTTGGATCCTTGATACCACATCTTGGTATGAAGTATGATTATGGTCTGTATGCTACGCCTGGTGCACCATATGGTCCATTGCCCATGTTCCCACCTGGAAGCTTTGGAGGTACACTTCCTATAATTGTATCAGCTATTTCTTTTCAAGCAATGGATTTGTTTCTTATTGAGAACTTTGTTTGTGGACAACTTTGTTCCTTTATAGAGAACATTGCTTTATTATATGACAAAATTAGTTGAAATACTAAAGTTTAGTTTAATGTAATCAATGTTTAGAATTCTAGAAGAATGGAATACTGAGTAAGTAAGTTAATTGGTAGTAGATATTGATCCTCAAAAGATGAGGGAGACAATAATTATGTGATAACAAAGAAAAACTGTTAATGTTTCAGTAAGCAATAATAAACATTTAGCAATAATAAACATTTGCAAATTGAGGCAAGCTTCCATGAAATAATTACTTATTCTATGTTCCAGTTTAGATACACACATCTTACTTGTGGCACCGATTGTAGTTGATTACGAAATCTTGTAATTTCATACCTGCATTTTATATGGAAAGTGGAAACCTTAAAATTGCCAATTCATATTGAAGCGTGTTGTTGCATCATTCTTAGTGTATATTGAATTTTTTGTCATACTTAAGCACATTTAATTGAAATCAATATCAATACTATGATATGAAGCACTAAACACTGTAAGAAATGAAGCAGCTATGTATAGCCCACAAATTTTGATGTGATATTGTGATAGGTAGAATGAGTAATTTGAATACTAAAATTATAATTAGTTTGAATGTTTAACTCTGTTAAAGTGCTGACTAAAATTGTTTACAACATTCTTATGTAATCATATTCAAGATTTTTATTTTATTCTCTCATACTTTAAAATGCCAATGCTTAGGACGTGACTATGTTTTGATTACTCATTCAAGATTACTTATTCATTCTCTAATTTTTATTTTATCATCTTAAATTGGTTGATAATATTATCGAGTTTTGAAATGTAGGATGTGTTTTGGTTCTAGTTCAAATCACAAAAATATCTGGTTCATTTTGGTTTTTAGTTCATTATGCATCAATGTCTTTTGTTTTGCAACTCTAGTTAGTCAAATTACAAATGAATCAGGTATTGATGGCTATGGATATGGCTTTCAAAGTCCTCAATGGGCTGAATGTTTAGTAGCTGATCATTTTGCATCTCGAAAACGCCGAGGAGGTATTTTCAGGATCTATTACTACTTGATCATATTTATATACAATATTTGTGATGTCCTTGTTTTCCAACATTGAATTATTTGTTTAATCTATGAATACTTTAAAACTCTCAATGTTTTTTGAACAATATTTACTAATTTTCTGGTTTGTGAAAAGTTGCAATCGGTGATTCTTGTTAACTTAGCTTATCATGGGGTCTTTGTTTTCATCCTGTTTCATGTGTCAATTCATCTCAAGACTTATACGTGATTGTTTATATAGAGTTTGGCCTTTTGGTCCATACTAAACTGACAACTTTGATGATCTAATCTCTGTCATAACGCCTCTGACACAATTGAGCAGCTGAGGCAATCAGAGGATGTTTTATTTTGCATTTGTATGAAGTTTGTCCTAAGATTACATCTTAACAGTCTTAAAATGAAAAAAAAAAATGTCTTTACAGGGCCAGATGGTTTATCTGAAGGGGACTGGATTTGTCCAAATTGTGAGAATGTTAACTTTGCCTTTAGAACCACTTGCAACATCAAACATTGTGGAGCTGCCAGACCCGTAAGTGTTTTTCATCTGTTGCAATTCTCTGATAATCACCTTGTTGCATGAATCATGAATGGATATTGCACATACAGTTCTTTTTTTTTTTAGATCAAGCTTTGATCTGCACTGCATTTACAAGCTTGAATACTTGTAATGGAACTGTTATATGGATAAACCATATCAAAACATGATTTCTAATAGTAATGTTTTCCCCTTCCAGTTTTACTTGTTAGTTTTGGTGAATTTTCTGCTGAACTCCTTAATTTTAACTCTGTAAACAGTCTTTATTATATGTCACTTTGTCACGATGGATTTTAACATTACATGCTGGTCTATTTCATGTTTTGTTGAAGAGCTCAAACAAACCAAGTTCAACAGTTATTCCTGAAGGTAGTTGGACTTGTGAAAAGTGCGGTAACCTCAACTATCCATTTCGAAATGTATGCAACCGCAAAGACTGTAGAACTGATAAAAAGGTTTCTGTCTAGAGTCATCATGTAAATAGAGATTTCAGTGCATTTGTCTCCTTTTGTAAAGAACAGTTACTTTTGAATGAAGATGAAGTTGGATAGCACTAGCTTTATAAGGGATGATTTCCGTACAGATAATTTTGCCTTGATTATTGATTACAATTCTTTTTCTGTTCATTTAATATGATAGTTTAGGATACCAGAAGAGGTAGCATATGATGGCATGAAAATAATATTAGGGTTCTAAAAATTTTGTCTTTAATTGAATTCAGTAACGTTTTCTGGTCTTTTACAGAATTTGGTTCTGGTTAGAAACTTATGTTTTAATCTTAAAGTAATTTGTTTATGTTAATAAAATAACATTTTATTAGTATTGTGGTTGCATTCCATCCTCATAGGATCCGTGAATAAATCACATATTTGAAAGTGGAATTAACCTAAAACAACAATAATCCATCCTGGTTTTTAAAAACATAAAAACTATGTTGTACTTTAACTCGTTTCAATACAAGGAAACTACCTAAGAAGTAAAAGATGCACGTTTCATTACAATTTCCAATGTCATTTTCAACAATCTTTTTACCATTTTAAGATTGATTTTAACATTACAATAAAACTTTTAAATAATGATGAGTGACTAAAAATATGTTTAAAAACCAATTTAGAAATTAATTTTATAATTAAAGACCAATCATTTTAGTAGTCAAAATTTTAATAACTAATATTAATGACAAGAAAACAATTTATAATAAAAATTATTTTAATTACCAATTTAAAAATTAATTATAATTTTTTAAAACTATTTTAATTATCAATAACTAATTTTTAATTTATAAATTGATCATTATAATAATTACTTATTTTTTATAATTGAAATGCATTAGTATTCAAAATAATTTCTTGTAGGATAAGACTTCATAAGTGTAAGATAAATGTCTTCAAACTTAGCCCAAAATTTCATTTTCAATTATCTAAAATTTCAAATTTGATAGAAGAAATATAAAACTGAAATTTTAACCAACACAGAAAAGTGGTCTAAGACTTTCGATTAACCATTAACATAGATGAAAAGTGTAACACAAATTAATCCCGGATGAAAAGGTATATAACTTTTTTATATTTCCATTCCTCCTTCCTAATTAATAAGCTCTATAATATAAAGAATCAACCAACAGAATATTTTCATTAAAAGTTATAGAAATATTGCATCAAAATTCGGATTAAGGTGTTAGTAATATTTTATTTTGATTGAACTATTTTGGTTTATTATTATTTTTAATTACACAAATTCAGGTTTTCAAGTTTTAAGATTGTTTTGATCTTTTTAGATGAGTATTCATAGCCAAACATTGATTATTAGCATATGATGACATTTCATAGTGACATAATTTTAACATATAAAAGGCTTAATATTTGTTTTTAACATGCAAAATGGAAGAGTCGAGGAAGAAGAAGAAGGAAGAGTAATGGTAGAGGAATTCCAACCTCAACAAAGAATCGTATGGAGCAACGCGGAGAGAAGATGCTTACACTTTCTTCAAAGCAAGACAACACTTTCTTCAAAGCAAGACAACACTTTCTTCAAAGCAAGACAAAGAGCGTTATCACTCTTCAAATCCATGTATTCATGCTCCGACACTCTTTCCACGACAACCTCAACCTCCTCACTGCTTTCATCACCACATGCGCCTCCCTTGCCGCCATCTCTCCTACGCGCCATCACCCGCTCGTACAACTCGCGCGCAGCTTATTCGACCTCGTCCGCACCCACGACACCTTCCTCTGCAACTCCATGATCGCTACTCACTTCGCGGGTCGCCAGTTTTCCGAGCCCTTTACTCTCTTCCGAGACCTTCGCCGCAAAACACCGCCTTTTACGCCTGATGTGTACACCTTCACCGCGCTCGTGAAGGGTTGCTCGGCTCGTGTGGCCAGGCGCGAGGGTCCGCAGCTTCACGGGTTGGTTTTAAGAAACGGGCTTTGCTTTGATTTGTACGTGTCTACTGCTTTGGTGGATATGTACGTGAAGTTTGGGATTTTAGATAGTGCCAAGAAAGTGTTTGATGAAATGTCTGTAAAAAGCAGGGTTTCGTGGACCGCAGTTATTGTGGGGTATGCGAGGTGTGGGGATATGGGTGAGGCTAGGAGGCTTTTCGATGAGATGGAAGATCAGGACGTTATTACTTTCAAAGCAATGATTGATGGGTATGTAAAGAAGGGATGTATGGATTTGGCGAGGGAGTTGTTTGATGAGATGGAGGAGAGGAACGTGGTTTCTTGGACTAGTATGATTTCTGGGTATTGTGGTAATGGTGATGTTGAAAATGCTAGGTTGATGTTTGACGTTATGTCGAATAAGAATTTGTTCACTTGGAATGCCATGATTGGAGGCTATTGCCAGAATAGAAGGCCTCGTGAAGCGTTGGAGTTGTTTAGTGAGATGCAGACGGGTTGGTGGAGCCAAATGATGTAATTGTTCTGTGTGTTCTTCCCGCTGTGGCTGATTTGGGTGCTTTGGATTTGGGGGGTTGGATTCACAGGTTTGCCCAAAGGAAGAAGTTTGATAGGACTGCTCGTGTTTGGCACTGCTTTGATTGATATGTATGCAAAATGTGGAGAAATTATGAAAGCGAAATTGGTTTTTGAGGAGATGAATGAGAGGGAAACGGCTTCGTGGAATGCTTTGATAAATGGCTTTGCAGTCAATGGCTGTGCCAAGGAAGCATTGGAGGTGTTTGCAAGGATGATGGAAGAAGGGTTTGGACCAAATGAGGTAACTATGATTAGTGTACTATCTGCATGCAACCATTGTGGTTTGGTGGAGGAAGGAAGAATATGGTTCAAAGAAATGGAGAGATTTGGAATTGTGCCTGAGATTGAGCATTATGGTTGTGTGGTTGAACTTCTAGGAAGAGCTGGATGCTTGGATGAGGCTGAAAAATTAATTCAAACCATGCCTTATGATGCTAACGGGATAATACTGAGTTCTTTTCTCTTTGCTTGTGTTTACTTCAATGATGTATCGAGGGCAGAGAAAGTTCTTAAAGAGGTGGTGAAAATGGAGGAGGATGTTGCGGGAAACTATGTGATGTTGAGAAACATGTATGCTACGGAGCAAAGGTGGAGAGATGTGGAGGGTGTTAAACAAGTGAAGAAGAAAAGAGGAACAAGTAAAGAGGTTGCTTGTAGTGTTATTGAGGTGGATGTAAGCTTTAGAGAGTTTGTGGCTGGTGATTACTGACATTCACATTTGGAGGCTATTCCGTTAACCTTGGCGCAGTTAAGCAAGCACATGAAAGTTGAAATAGTCTGTTGACAATGGAAACACAGAAAGCTGAAAGGAGAGGTCAAAAGGAAGTAAATGAAAACTGAAAGAGACACAATATGTGTATTTCTGTCCTTTCATAATTTGTTCTCCATTTAGAATCAGGCTGCTGACTCAAGTAAATGGTGTTCTGCAAGGAATTACTGAAGACAACCCGAAAGATATTAGGGAAACTTATTATATAAAGGGTTTAAAGGAAGGATGTTAGATTTATGAATCATAAAAATTAATAATTAATAATAAATAATAAACTCTTAACCTGAACAGTTTCTAATTTTCTTTAGAACATAAAAGCAGAAGATATCTAAATGATAAGCATTAGCGACCACTGATTAATTACGTTAAACTAGTATTTGATTTTTCTTCTATAGAATATCTTAAATTTTTTTTTCTCTTGATGGGATGAAAAGAGAAAGAAATAAAAATGATGAACGTGTTAATATGAACTGTAACCTTTTTACTTAATTTTTTTTAATTATTTTATTTAAGTTTTAATATTTTAATTTGATTTCTCAACAAATTAAAATATTATTTATGAATATAATTGACTCTCAATATCTCTGGATGGTGAGATGATAGACACATGAGATTCAAAATGTGATGCAGTGTGGAGGTTCAAATCTTCTTGAAATCATTATATTGAGACCTCTTAACCTAACCAACCTATATATATATATATATATATATATATATATATATATATATATGTGTGTGTGTGTGTGTGTGTGTGTGTGTATGTT